TCAGGGTATCTTTTCCAAACACTTCCTCACATACACGTGTGGGTTTGTGTGCATGCATGCATGCATATATATATATATATATATATATATATATGCATGCCATTTTGTAATGATTAGACCATTTTTTGTGCAGACCTCAAAAGTCAAAATCAGAACTCAGGATTCTATTGTGAAAACAATCAAGTAACATTACTGTTATGACAAATATTGATTTCAATATACTTTTAACTTTCTAGGCCCCTTTTGTAGCTGATGAAGGGTGTAGAGTCCAGTAATTCATTTATATATATATATATATATATATATATATGCATGCCATTTTGTAATGATTAGACCATTTTTTGTGCAGACCTCAAAAGTCAAAATCAGAACTCAGGATTCTATTGTGAAAACAATCAAGTAACATTACTGTTATGACAAATATTGATTTCAATATACTTTTAACTTTCTAGGCCCCTTTTGTAGCTGATGAAGGGTGTAGAGTCCAGTAATTCATTGCTGGTTTTGGGTTCAGTTGAACAAGTACATTTTCTGCCCACGGTCCAGTTATTTATTAATTTTCCTGCTTTTTTTTGCTGTGTAAAGATGGAAATGCTCCACTTTAATTTGATTCCAACTAGACGTCTGTGAAAACTGGACTTGATCGCCCATGTACTTCTTTCCGGTGCACTCGCCGTGTCAATCTTAGGTTATTGTAAAAATCAGCATCGCTTTAAGACGATTACAGTCATGTACAGATCGAAACATGCGCCTCCTTCTGTTCCAACAGAAAAAAAAAAGTGTGAACATCGCCTTCTACTCCAACAGAAAAAAAGGTTTGAACACCTCTAGTCAATCTGGGGACTGGTGTTTGTGTTATTACTGTGGCTGCTAAATATTACCTTCGTTGACAGTTCTACAGATGTAAACAAGTCAACACACTCACTAGATACACCTTCCTGACTCTGCATTCAACACGCCTGCTCCTTTTTTGGCTCTGTCCTCACAGATCGTGATATTGTTCCAAATTGTTTCGATTTCACCATGCAGTGCCTGTAGTACTAAGTAAGAGGAACTCCACAATGTAGCTGCATAAGTAGGGAGCCACAGTATATTATTTGCTATAGCAAGGTTGATTTTCAAGTTGGCTTTCCTACCGCGTTCGCAGCATGTTACTGTCATGCATAGCATGCACAATTGCTGCTGTGGTTATACTTGACTACGTCTTAGGAGTGCACATGTCAATAAGCTGGTACCCGAGGCAGAAAAAAATGCCTTGAGCATTTTTTTCTTTTGTTTTTAATCAAATTATTTGAGGACTCGTTTCAGCCCTAAAACATATCTTCAAAACTTCAATGTGGACCTTATTTGAAACATGTTTTCCATGAAGGTTATGAAATATCAGCTAATCTTCTATTTGGGTTTCCTAGTTTTAGATCCGACTCCAGAGGAGTAATGCTTCACCAGTCATGAACCTCACCGCTTATCACAGTAAAAGAACAACGAACTGAACTCTTGTTGGAAACAGGACTTCTGTTGTTTTCTTCATTTACATTTCCAAGCTTACACATTTCCAAATAAATAAATATCTGTGCATTTGATCACTTTTGCAGCAGTGATCACAGTGTCAAATGCGCAGAGTACCAAGGCTTTTTGATATGCAAAAATATAAATGCCATGGTTTGTGGTGTGTGTGTGTGTGTGTGTGTGTGTGTGTGTGTGTGTGTGTGTGTGTGTGTGTGTGTGTGTGTGTGTGTGTGTGTGTAACTTTGGCCTTCCCTATAGCCAAGTAGGAAAAGCACCGCTACTTCATTAAATGCAAAGGAAAGGAAGCGAAGACAAAGCAAACAAAGCAAGAGTTGGGTGCAAAAGGAAAGGGGTGAGTGAATGTCAGGGGTGGGTGGGCTCCCCTCCCTCTCCTCTCTCTCTCTCTCGTCTCCTCTGCAGAGTGGAGGGAGGTCGGCAGCATCTCTAGGTAAGCAGCCCCGTCACTCGGGGGTCTCATATTGCCAAGGCTGCTCGGTTCCCACAGTGTGACCGGACCTAGACGTGGCCTTCCTCCCCACTCCGGCGGCCCTGCGTCTTTAGACCCCCAGGCCCTGGAGCAGAGGTTACACCAACACAGCCAAGCACAGCAACATGTCAGGCCCACACCAACCGTTGCCTTGGTGCCGCCGCATTAGCGAAGCGCTCTTGACTGTGTTGCAAGGAAAGTGATTTGCCATGACGTCTAGGGCTCTCCTCTAGAATCCGCTGCACTTTGCCGCCATGTGGCTACATGTCTCGGCACACTCAGTCTCCCCATTTTTCCACCATTCTCCTCTTCTTTGTCATCGTCTCCATCACATCCTTAAGTTCTCCCTCACTCATTCCACTGTGCCTCTTCCCACCCTCTGAGTGATGACTTATGTCTGAGAGCCATGATTAGTCTGACATTGACGAAAGACAAAGATGCTTGTCAGACACATCTGCATTGGTGAAGTGTTGAGCCCACAAGCTGTGCAGTTTTTAAGAAAAAAAAGACAGTTTACAGTTGGTCAACTCGCTAGCGGTACTGATGTCAAGCAAAATGTTTCTTTTCAGTTGAGGCACGAAGTAGCCGCACAAATCGTCACAATGCTCCCTGCAAGTGGCTGCTCACTGGTGAGTGACCAATAAACAGGTGCACGCCATTTCACACCAACACTGCTCTACAAGGAAGCGTATAATTGATGTTGCGGAGAATAAAGTGAGGAAAAAGTAGTTCTAATTGCAAAATGTAAATATTGAGTTTTCCCACAAGTGGGGGGCAGACCACCCAGGATGCAAAATAGTCACCCACCGAC